TAAAATATTATAAAATATGAAATTAATTTACTATAATTATACAATATACATGTACAAGGCTTTATATAAGGCTATACAAAATCTTTACATTTCCTTCTATAACTTTCTTCAAGCATTCTCTCAGTGTATTCACAGTTCGGCTTGCCTTTAGATCTCCTGCCGGCTTGTTATGGCTTATGCCAAAACCAAATGTTATGCTGCCTTAATTATGGCCTATTCTCCTGTCTGCCAGCAGCCTCGCCCTCCTCTCCCTCTTCCTCTCTCTCTCTCTCTCTCTCTCTCTCTCTCACTCTCTATCTCGATTGAAACTTTGACGCCGCGAGGCGTTTTGGCATTTGCCAGCTAAACTAGTTGATTAACATTAAACTTGAATGTTGCGCGCTGACAAACAACAAATTTTACTTCAAACAAAAGACAAATTGCTACAGGGGGCAAGCAAGCAGGATTTTTATTCGTTGCTTATCAGACGCCGACGATCTAACGTCTTGGCCAAGCTGCACTTGGCCGAACGTCAAGTAGCCGTGTTTGCCCAAGCAGCAGGCAAAGGAAAAAGTTGGAGCTGTTGAATTTAGCTGACTGACTGCTAAATTGCAAACACATGCTTCTCTGCACACACACACACACACAGACACACAAAGGGACTCTGGACAATGCCGGCGACAATGGCCAAGTTAAATCAGGCGTGAAATCAAGCAGGTGTTTCAATTTTTACCAAATTGACTTGACTTTCAGTTTACCTCGCTGGCAAACAGACTTTTGCCACTGACAGTTGATAAATTGTGTTTGTAGTTGTTGTTGCTGTTGTTGTTGTTGCTGCTGCTGTTGTCTCTTTGTTCGGCGAATGGCTGAGATCGTTGTCAGGTCGTCTCATTAAAATGTTTATTATGCATTGCATTTCTGATTATAAAACCGAATTAAAACCTATTTATGCAACGCCTCGCACATACGATTATGATAAAATAATCATCATTATTATTATTATTATACTTTTTATTGCTATCATTTTTCATATTTACTCTCTGACAACAGGCAAGACGTCAGCTCAATGTAAAAATTCTCTACAGTGAAATTAATTATATACAAAATATACTATACATACATATACAGTATATATATATGTATATGTAATTTGCATAATAATAACAATAATCTGGACACGCATTGATTTCGATGTTCMATGCATAAGTAATTATTATATAATTATTTTTAAAGAATTAATACCGCTTACACTGCACCGAGAAGAGTATATATGTACATAAAAGAATTTAATACCAAAACAAGTAAGAAAGCTCTAGTCGAGACTGCTCGACTACGAGATCCCCTGAACCCTTGGAGCAATAGATATTTCAATAATTTTTCGCGTCTTTCAGCTTACACAAGAAACACGCACACACACACACACGCACGTACGCATACACAGGCATACATACACACACACACGCATACAGACACAAACGCATACACACACTCACATACACACACACATACACAAACACATACATACACATACACAAACACATACACAAACACATACACACACATACACAAACACATACACACACAAGCACCCACGCATAAACACGCATGGGCTGCAGTGTGCGCTTACTATGAGAACTTAATTGTTTAATAACTTTTTTNACGGACAGACGGACAGACGGACGGACGGACAGACGGACAGACGGACAGACAGACGGACAGGGCCAAATCAACTCAGCTCATCGCCCTGATCAAGAATATATATACTTTGTGGGGTCTGCCACGCCTCCTTCTGCCTGTTACATACATTTCAACAAAACCATTATACCCTGATTTCCCATTGAAAATGGGTTCAGGGTATAAAAAGGCTTAAAGCGTTTAAGGCAAAAAAAATAGTATTTAACACATAAACTAAATTTGATTTATGCAATGAAAAATATTCTTAAAATATTTGAAGAATTTTTAATTTCGCATATATAAATTATTAATTTAATTTTGTTTTTATTTTTTGCAACATTTAATTTGCCTTATATGTATTTTGTATATTAAATTTGAAATAAAAATATATGTATATATATGTTTATTTAAAAACCCAATTAAACGCTGTGCGAATTAAGTTGAATATATTAAATTGAACAGCATTGTATGCTCTGTACATACTCCTATTTGTACCTCTTTCTCTCTATAAATATATATACATATATATATATGTATTATTCGCTTTTTTTTTTGTTATTATATGTCAAGCATAAATTGGCATTTCAACTGGATTTGCATGTTAATTAAAATGCTGCACGCACGGACAGCTGAAAACAAATGCAGAGACAAGAGCATTAAAGCATATAGTGGTATGCAGCATGCGTGTATGTATATGGATATATGTGTGTGTAGCTGTCTGTATATGGCTAGAGTATGCTCGTAATGCAGTCTGGTACTACAACGCTTAACAGCTGACCGAACATTGTAAGCCTTTTGTGGGGCCCTCGCCGCTGGCCGTTTTGACTCTTGGCCAGATCGATGTCAGCCCAAGGCCCGAGCACTTCACTGCTCAATGGGCGCATTTCATTTTGAACTCTATTTACTTAAGTGTTCGCCGAGCAGCGTCAAAATGGAGACGAAGCTCGGTTCGTGCAACAACAATCAACTTGATGACTTGTGGCAGCATAGGACTGAGGGCTGCCGCTCGAACTCTATGCGACCCGAACAACGACCTACACTTGACTTAACCAGCATTGTCGATTGCATTGTGGGCGGTGCACGCCCACAAAAAAAGCAAGAATGAGAGAATGAAAGGGAGAGAGAGCTAGAGAGAGAAAGAGAGAGAGAGAGAGAGAGAGAGAGAGAGCAAAGAAACAGAAAAAGTGCATGGAGCAGCGTCAACGCCTACGCTTTTTGGGCGGGCACAGGCGAGACTTTAATGATGATTTCCTTGGCGCTTAAGTCGTTTAAACTGCGACCCGATGACGTCCTTCTACAACTCAACGAGCGCCTTTTTTGTGTCTGACTAGGCGAGGCGGGCGTGTAGCGTGCTTTTTTATTGCTTCAGCTGCCACGACCGCCTCGACTGGCTCCGCTGGCTCGACTGGCTGAGTGACTACGTCTGCTGTTGTTACTCCTGCTGCTCCTGCTCCTGCTCCTGCTTCCACTGCTTTCATGTGCATTATGAAGCACTCGTCATCTCATGCTGCTGCTGCTCCTTCGCTCTCTTGAGCTGCTTTAAGCACTTGACTTTGCCTAGAGTGCAGCCCATGGAAACCCAGCACACACACACAGACACACACCCACACTCACACAGCTAGATAGCTTCAGCCACCACTCAGCCTCGGCTCAGCCTTTCTGCGATGTTGGCTTAAAGATTTTTCGCAGCTGATGGAATTATGACAAGTGCCACGAACGAGTGCTGCTGTGCCACAGTCGTAAAGTTCAATATTTTTATAGCGCACTCTGCAGCGTCTGCTGCACAAAATAATAATGCCTAAAAGCAGCTATATCCAGCCAACTTATATATGTATATACTTATATATGCATGTCTACCTGCCCTGCCTTATAATTAATTGCATTTTTATAGAGCATTCGGAATGCTGAAAACCAAATATATTTGCTGATATTTACATTAAATATTTCGTCTGGCATTTAAGCATTCCATAAATTCTCGCCAACATTTTTGCATCAAATCTAATTCCGATTTACGAACAGAGAAAAGAAAACAAAAAATAATATAGGATTTTATCAACTGTGCAATAAAATTTGTTGCATTTGTTTAATTTATTTGCCGGTCGGCAAAATGTTGTATAATTTATTATAAACAGCAGCCGCCAGGGCGTACTGTCAGCGCCACGCGCCACGCCCCGCTGCCCCAGCCGAGCTCCTGCGCTTATAATTGACATATTTAAAATATTAAATTGCATCCGTGTGCAAAAATTGGTTTGCCCGTTAGCTATGCGCTCTGCTATAGGGATTTTTTTTAATATATATGTAGCTGCGATGTTTTGCATGCAATTATTAATTTTTAATCAAGTAAATAACTGAGCACACACACGCACACACAGAGCCATAGACGTGTGGACAGCAACTCTAACCGCAATGTGCGTGATTTCCGCTTTTCGCTGCACAAAGCCAAAAAAACAATAGAAAAAAAATTGAACTGACGACGGGCAATGGAAAGTTGTTGGCTAAAGCCGACACAGAATATACTCTTTAATGCTAGAAAGTCTATATCACATTGTATCTATCTACCTCTCTCTCTCTCTCTCTCTCTCTCACTCTTCATCTGCTTGTCGTTCTGTATTTATCAAATTGTGTTTGATTCAAACTTCTCTCGATCTACTCCTTCTCTTCCTCTCTTGCATTGATAGCTAGCTAAAGATATCCTTAACAGATTTTTGTTTTAGTATATTTTCGTCTATACAAACTGCTCGAATACTCTTGCCTGAAATTAATAACAAAATATTAAATAACAATTGTCGCCGCTGGGCATATGGGTGTTATTAATTAAATGTCGCTTAAACACGCGCTTAGCATATATACTATAGGTGCATATATATTGTACACATATATATATTTAGCTAGTTTTTTTTTGCACAGCTCAAAATTTATTATCAGTGACAGAGCAGACAGACAGCAGCAGGCTTTCGAGCAGAGGACTCGTTGACAAAAATTAATAATAAACTAAAAACCGCAGGATATTTACACTGCACTCGATTGTTGCGTCTCTCTTTCTCTCCGCTCTCCCTCTCTCTCTCTCTCCCTCTCTCTGCATGTGCGTGTGTGCTTGACATTTCTGGCTTTTGGGCGTATTGTAAATTAGTTTGTCTCTCTAATAATTTTTTCAGCGTGATTTTTTTTAGCTGCTGTGCAGCCAAATTAGTTGGCTGTTTATCGCAGACGCGAGTTGTTGTTTGTTCAAGCGGAAAATGCGCTGATTTGTGTTGCATAATTTGGTGGGCGCACGTTTGTTTATTTAGCTGTTTTTCGTTGATGGCCCCAAAGGTAAACAGACTCGCAAACACACCCACACACACACACACACACACACACACTCACACTCACATCATGATCATCACTAAAACGCTTTGATTTGTTATGGAAGACTCGTGTCTGGCCGCAGGCAAGCAATAAATATATTTCGCTTTAAAAATTTAATATGGAAACTCTGCGCTCGCTTAAGTGATTGATACAGAAATCATTATCTATGCTTTGCACTCGCTTGACCAAAACGGATAGAAAAGTGTGACAGAGCTTCTGAATTATGCAAGTGGGCCTCAAATTCCTTTTTCGCTTAGGCTAAGAGCATACTTTAAAATGCAAAATGCCCAAATGCTTAAAGCTCTGGCTTGCAAATTAGGATATGCTTCATTGACTGCCAAAAGGTACATAACGTACGTGTGTGTGCGTGTGTGTGTGTGCTGGTCTCCTCTCACTTGGCTTTACCCCTTACTTCGTTGCCCTCTCTCATTCACTCTCTCCCTCTCTCTCTTTCTGTTGAAGCATTCCCTGCCATCTAAATGCTTGCTTTGTCATTCGTTCCGAGTCATTTCATTTTCACTTTGTTGTTGCCTCAGCTACCAGCTACCCATGCAATGCCATTTGCTCCTGCTGCTGCTCCTGCTGCTGCTACTCCATAGTTCCAGCTCACTAGTTACCCATGGCACTGCCTTAAAATGACAAACAACATTTGGCAGCTCCCTCGCCCAGCTGCTTGAAAGCGAAAAATGCTTTGCAGCAGCCGAGAAGGCAAAGGCTCTGGCAGAGGCAGTGGCAGTGGCAGAGCCAGAGGCAGAGGCCAAGAGTAGTTCGAGGGGCACGGCTGCGCGTACATGCCATTGCACAATCATTGGATTCCGAAACATTTCTAGAATATTTAATAAGAAAACTGAAAATCGTTGAAATGCCAGCAACACTCATAATATCAGCACCCTATGCCCTCCACCCGTCGGCTCCTTAAGCCAGTTCTGCTCGGCTTGAAGCTGGCAGTGCCTAGGCAAAAGTCTAGTTCGTTTATCTGTGTGTTTGTCTGTCTGGGTGTTTATGAGTGTGCGCGTGTGTGTGTGTGTGTTGAGTTGTGTGCGTGCCGTGTCACCGCCCCCACAATTTGTGCCAATGCATTTTCTTGATAAAAGGCTAAGGTCAAAGACAATATTGAAATGCCAATTGAACTTTTTGCTATTATTAAAATTTTACTGCCAGAGCTCAGAGCTCGGGGCTTGCCGTCCAAATTGCATTTTGTAAATGTTTAGCACATTTCAAATTGGCTTAAAAGAGACTTGGCAAATTGATTTAGAAATCAGAACATATTAGAGAACCTGAGACTTTAAGTACATTAAACCAGAATACGATATATGTTTTCTTTAGAAAGAGAGAGTCTCTATATGTATGTAAATCCCAACTAGAGTTGGGAATCTTATATATTGAAGCATAAATCAATATGGCTAACCCTTTTAGCCAATTTATTTTATCAGAGCATCAACACGCACTATACAGTTTAACCCTTTAGCCCTGTCCAGACAACCCTTAATCATAAAAAGAAACAACATCTACTTACTCATATCACTTTTCTTCTTCTTCTTTATCGTTGCAGGTATGTACCAACAACAACAAATTTGCATAACACAATGCATAAAAAAAAAATAGAAAAAAAAGAAATCGAGTAAAAAAGAACCCTTTCGAGGGGCATCCTTTATGTAAGTGCAGTGTCGCAGACAAATCCTTGGCAATCCTTGCAATCTATGCACTAGACACTGAAAAATTTGTATAGCTTATTATTAATAACTTCGGGGTGGCGGAGATCAAGTAGCTAAATCTTGAGAACCATTTAAGCAGCATGTCAGAAACAAAACACGAGCGAAAGGATGGTCGACATTGACAGTGATTACAAGCTAAAAGTATGAAAAACAGCAAAAACTACTTAAGCACAAGAAATAACAAAAGACGACCAGCCGGACCGACCATAGACAGTAGACAAATTTTTTGCATAAACAGAGACGACAAAGCCAACTAAGGGACTGCACTTAAAACAAGAGCCACTGCACAGCAGCAGCAGAAGCAGAGGCAGAGGCAGCAGCAGAGGCAGCCACGTCCATGTCTAAGTCGAAGACGAAGTATCGAAGCCAAGCGAAAGTCATCGAAGCTCAGCTGCCCAAAGAATTTTCTCCATTTCGATTTTTTGTTCGCCGTTCTTTCTCTTTTCACTGATGTGAGATGCGAATTTTTCAATAAGTGCGTCGGGACGCAGGACCGGGCCATAAGTATAATAATTTTCGGGTACGAGGGACATGGGGATGTGGGTCGACGCGACGTCGTTTAAAATATGCCGGATTGCTGGATCCTGGCTAGCGTCAGGAAGCATACAAGTAGAACGGCTCAAAATGCAAAGTAGACGACATCCGCTTTGAGATTGGATGACGTTTCGTCCTAGCCATCGTCAAGTATTAAAAGCAAATAAGTAATAAAAATAATAATGGAGCATTTTTACCATTCCTGCTGCTTCCCCAAAAAAAAAGAAAAGAAAATCAGAGAAAAAAGAAAAGGAGAAAAAAAGGATAAGCATCTTAGCGCAATTTCTTGCTGCCTTCTCAATATAACAAAAGGTCCTTGCGTCGGGCCAAATGTGCCGAAAATGAAGAAGGGGCTGAAGCAGCAGCAGGAGCTGGAGCAGCAGCAGGGGCGGCGGCAAAGGGGCACGTACACAGCTCAGCTGCTGGACCTGCTCGGCTACGGGCCATGCTGCTGTTTTGTCCTTTATTTCCATTTATTTCTCCATTTCGTTTTTTTTTTTTTTGTGCTTTGCCTTTTGCCGCTCTCATATTTCTGGCCGCGTCCCTAAAGGACAACAACATAAATGCAGGAAATTTGAATGGACGAGCGCAGTGAATGAAATTTGCAAATATTTTTCAAAAATTGAACTTCTCTGGCAAATTTTTTGCGTCCGCAGGACATGAGGGCAGGAGGCGGGCGACGCGCGGTGGCAGATGGGAGGCGTGCCGGCTGGCGGTTTATGAAAATAAGTGAAGAAAATTGATTTGAAGTACTTTGAAGTGCAAAAACGCATAGCGCCGAATCAGTGAAGAATGCTTTGGCATATTATTTCGTTTTGACGAACAGTTTCTTTTTCTCTCCCTCTCTCTCTCTCTCTCTGCTGTCACTCTGTATCTATCTATGTCTACTTTTCAGTTAGTTTCTCAACTTTTGTTATGATAAGCAAGTCAAGCAGAATGGCCAAGTAGGAGAAAATGAAAAAAAACTAACTAAAGACAAATACGAATGTAGATCCACGCAGCTTTAAGTAAAGTTACGAACTGCACAAAAAAAACTTATTTAAATAATGAAAAGGAGTTAAGTATCTGCCAGAGAGCACAATCCGAATTATACTTATATTCATCTCTTGGCGTCAATCTGCTTCGATCAGCCACAGCTTTAAATTCGCTTTGAAATCGATTTCTAGGCTTTGCTCAGGTCTTAAGGACACTTTATCCTGCAAAGCCAAATTGAAGCACTTTCTCTCAACTTCTTTAGTCAGCTTGAGCCGCTATCAGACAACAAAGGAACATGTGACTGTATAAATTGCCTAGAAAACTAGTTGCTACCGCCCGCCGTCTATCATTTCCGCTAGCAATTTGTGTGCTGGAAACTTAGACTGCGCCGAGAAAAATTGTCAAAATATAAACCGCCGAACCGTCTAAGGAGTCTAAGGAGTCTGGCAGGTAACCAAGCGCGCTCTCCACTTGACGATGCTCGTTTATCAAGCAGCCAAGCCAACAAAGAAGGAGGAGACGCCGCGGCGTCGGGTAGAGTCGAGTAAAATGTTTCACGCCAGCGCCTAGAAGTTGCAATGCGCCTGCCAGAGACTCGTTTTGGCCAAATATATTCATTGCAAGATTTGTTGCCAATGGGCGGAGCTCGTTCTTCTACTTTGCTCGTTCTATTTCTCTTTCTCTTATTTTTTTTTTTTTTTGTTTTTTTTTTTTGCATATGCTGCTGCCTGTGTGCCACTGGAGACTGCAAGACTTATGCTTGAATTGCAAATAGTTAGAAAAGATTTTGCCATGATTTTGATGTTACTTTTCGGTTGCATTTCTTTCTGCCACAGCAATTGGCAAGGCATGCCGAAGCGATTTGTGCTTACTGCATTTGGGCGTAACACAGATTTCGCATGATTAAATTAAGGCATACAGCTCTCCCTCTCTCTCTCTCTCTGTCTCTCTCAGTCGAGCTCTGTCTCTGTCATTTTTTTAGCACGGCTTAAACTGGGCATTAAATGAAATGTTATATAACAATCAGAAATCAACGCACATAAAAATATATATGTCTCTCTCTATATGTATATGTGTGTGTGTATTCAAGCATTTGCGGCCATTTGCTGTTGGCAATTGCACACGCACACACACACACACACACACATTAGTGTGCAATTTGGCCAAATGTCGCCAACGTGGCAGCCTGTCCCCGGTTCACCCTGGCCAGCCCCCTCCCCGCACCGCGCCCCTCTTCGCATTGCCGGTTCGCCCCGAAAAACTTTCACAATATTTCCGCAAAACAAATTGCGCGTAAAAATGGCAATGCAATTTTTGGTCGTTTGTTGCGGCGGCCGTTGCCAAATGGACGCCATGTTGCATCCACATATGTTTCAGCTGACCCTTAAACTCCCTCTCACTCTCTCCCACTCACTCTCTCCCGGTCGCTCTCTCCCATTCTGTGTGCGTGCCTGTCGCATGTTTCTGTAATGTTTGCCCAATTGAATTTAATAATATTTTCATTTGGATTTTAGTTTTTAGTTTTTCCAGAGACTATTTTTGCGCAATTTTCAGCAGACCAACTGCAACGGCAACTGCAACTGCAATCGCAACTTCAATGGCAACGGCAACTGCAGCTGTGCCCTGTTCCTGACGTGTCCTTTGAAATGTTTTGCTGTTTGTGGCTGGCAATTGGCACAGCACTGGTCAGCACATGGCCAAACAGGGATAGGGATAGGGAGAGGGAGAGGGACTGCCCAAAGAAGGCATTGGTTTAGTTATTGTTGTTGTTTGACCCATTTGATGTTGATTTTATGTTCTTTCATTAGACACGATTCGTTTGCTTAAAGAGCTGCACTAAAAGTTGAGCCAGCTGATATAATGACAACGTTTGTTGAGGCTTACTAGAGCAAAGAAATATTTAGTTCGTTTATATTGCAGCAAATATTTATGCCTGAGTGAATTGCTTGCCTTTAGACAAAGTTTCTTAGATATAAATTAAATAAATATATTTTTTTATATTGAGTTAAACATAGATTTGATCGAGTAACACTCAAGACTCGATCTCGTAGCTCTACAGTAGCTAGACGTAGATGCCTAGCCAGGCTGTTTGGGTGACATCCTAATCTCCCAAGGTATTTATGTTTACCCACTCTTAAGTTCTGTGTTCAATGTTCGGCTTAAAAAAGTTCTGAAATGGCTAAGTTGTGGTCAGATAAATCATCTTCTTCATCTACCTCTAGCCTTCTCTCTCTCTCTCTCTCCCTCTCTCTCTCTCTCTCTCTTTCTCTCCCTCTCTCTCTCTGTAACTTACACAGTTATCAGAAAATACCAACATATACTTCATAAATTTTGTTGTTATTGTTATGTTTGTTTAGTATCCTTAACAGTTCATGGCCTAACAGGACCTCCTCTATTAAGTTGTTTCATCAAAAACTGCTTTAATGCCAGCATAGTGCTGGGACGTGACTCGTAACCTGTTTAAAGAGTTGCGCTTTATGGGCGTGGCACAGTTTTGGCTCTGGCCAGGGCAGCTATGTGCGAGGGCACTTACTGCTGTGCTTATCCGTAAAAACAACTATCGCATCAACAGCTCGTAAAACCAAAGCAGCAAATTAAACTGCGAGCATAAAAAGCCAACGAATTTGGAAGTTTGTGGGCGGCTCTCTCCCTCTCGCTCTCACGACTGACCATACTGACCATAATGCGCACCCATAAATATAATATTTGATAATTTTATTAACAATTTGGATTGTAAATTGTTTACGACTGCGATTGCAGTGCTCTCGGCTTAAGTCTCGGCTGCGCCTTTCCCTGGCAACCAACTGCAAATGAAATATTCATGCGGCACAGTCTCAGCAGAGATTCTCCCTTTCCCCCTCTCTCACTCTCTCAAACTGAGAGTCGTAAATTAAATTTGGCCCTGGCAACATTCTGTTCAATCAAGCACAAAAAACGCTGCAGACAGACGGTCTAAAGGGCTGCCAGCCTGGCTATGGCTATCCGGGCCGTCCTTAGACTCGGTTTAGTTCAGTTTTTGTAGTTTTTTTGCCAGCTGTGAACTGTGTGAACGCACTTTGATTTTAAGTGCATTAGAGAGAGGCGCAGTCGAAATTCAATTTGTTGCAATCCTATGCTAAAATCAGTGGGCAGCAAAGGGAAAGAACTTTTAGCCAACATTAAATTTATGAAATTGTGCGCTTCCTCTCTTTAGCCTTGGCTGCCTGGCTGCATGGCTGTGTATGTCCTTATGCAGGACGAGAAGTGCTCGAAACTCAATCATGCTTGCATGTAATATCCTGCCAGTCCTTTGCTGCCGTGTTGAGCCAGCCATTTGCTTGAGTAAACTGTGCGGTCCTCACGACATTTATACCCACAACAACAACAACAACAGCAACAACAACAGTGGCAACAACAATGATAACAAAATGCCAAGTTCTTCGCAGTTGGAGCTCTGTGAACTATGCAAGACATGTGCAACAAGGCATGCGAAGGACAGATACGACAAAATGGGGCGTATTCAAGGCGTTATTTACGAATTGTCCTGTCCAAGTCAAGTCCCTCAGCTGCAACACCAACAACAACAACAACAACAACTTGCATTAAAACTTTGCTGTCACATGCCAAGCATATCTCGCCCTCGCCCCCGGTCTCACCCACTCGTTCTCTCTATAGCCTGTTGATTGCTTATTAGAAGTCTTTAACTAAACTTTAAGTATATCTATTTTCCTTATATATAATGTATTTAATGCATAAGTTTCTCCAGCTCTCTGCTGGCTTTGCAATGGCTTTTCTTTAGACCTTTCTGCGCCTGATTGTGTTTTAGGCCTGCTCTCGCACTCGCTTTAAGCCTTGGGCAAGAGTGCTCTCAGCGACTAATTGAATTAAATGGCTCGGCTCGGCTGCGGTGGGCTGGGCAAAAAGCAAAGTAAATTAAATAAGTTTTTCATTTTGGCCAACGTTGGCAAGTTGCATTGTCAACGCCGTTGTTCGCCTCGCGCTTTTTGCTTGCCCGCATTTTACGCTTCGCCTGCGGCTCCATTTGGCTGCCTTTTGATGCCGACCCGGACACGGACACGGATACGGACAGGGACAGGGAGAGGGACACGGGAGAGGACTCTGTGCCGGACTTGGACTACGGCCAAATGCAATGAGCCAAAAGTTGTTTAATGTATGCAACGCCTGTCTGTCTGACCGTCCGCCTATCCGTCTGTCCGCCTCTCTTCTCGATCCCGGCGGGCTGCGGTTAACAGCGCGTCGCAACTTTGGCCCCGAAAGTAAGTAACTTTTCGCATGGCTCGTACATTTTTTAATGCAGAGCATACTCTTAGGTAGCTTAGTGGCATTTTACACTAATTTGACTCGCAGTCAGAGTTCTTTATTATTTTTTGTCCACGCTCGCCCGCTCGATGGTGTGATTTATTTGCCGGAAAAGATTACTTACTCGGCTTGCGGTTGCTCTGAAGCGGTTTTCAGTGGACTTCCCTCTCTGGCCTCAGTTGAAGATTTGTTTTGACTGAAGCTGAAGCTGATGCTGAAGCTGATGCTGAAGCTGCAGCTGACAGCAAAATTAAAATGTGGAAATGAATTTGTAATTAGTTTTACTCTGCTACTTTTTTTTGCACACTTTACAGCTGTCATTGAGAGTTTGAGGCTTTAAATAAGCAGAAATTAATTGGAAAAGTCCTTGGCCATGGGAGTCGGAAAGGAGATAATATATTTTAGAGAAATAGTTGACTCTGCCAATGAATCAATATTTATTGGTATTGATTGGAGGGACTTACTGTGAGTTTATATTGCTCAGGATGTTAGCTTTCCATATGCATAGAGCTGTCCTACATAAAGAGTGCCCTTTATTGCTCTACTTCTGTAATTCACTTGCTCTCTAAATAGAGTCAACTCACAATTCTTAGCAGCTTCTTCTGCATCGCTCTCAAGCTACTGTCACACTCTGCTTTTTGACAGGAGGCCTACGTGCCATCTCAGTCTCTCTCAGCAACAGCTACATATATTTGTCTCACTCTTATGGAGTGACCATTTGAGTATGCTTAGAGCGTGCTGCCAACCTGAGTAAAAATTGCCACACTACTCTAAGAATGAGACGCTATGTTGTTAGACAACACACTGTGACTAAACGAGACCGAATCATATTTTATTAACATATATAATTTATATAAATATATGTCAGCTATTTAWAATTTGTAACAGCCTTTAATGCATTTATACATATATAGATATTATACTCGCTTTTCGCGTGAATCGCGAGCTCTTCTACAATTTAACACCTTTAAATAACACCTGCTATTAGGCTTATATTTATTTGTGCCAAATCCATTTGGCGCTCAAATTTATGCGCTTTTATGTTAAATAAATAAATGCATTTTCTTGCTGGCGCTTTAATTGATATATAAAAATGGCTGGCCATTAAACAAATGCGCGCCCGGCCAATTCATTTAGCAATTAAAACAAGCTGCGGCCGGCGACTGCTTAAAAAAAACAAATAGCAAAAAAAAATAATAAAAAAAATAAACTATTATATGCAAATCATGCACAGACTACCATACATATATATAGTTATATATATATAATTCATTTGTTAAAACCATTTGCCGCCCATTTATTTGCTAGTATTTCTTTTGCATTTATTATACATTTTTTTTTTTTTTTTTTTTTTTTTTTTTTTGTGTT